ATGATGTGGTTTAGTTTATTTTATGGAGTTCTCGTAATTCTTTTCTACTTTACAGATGTATGTTTTGAGTATGTTTGACGTTTTTATTTCTAAATATGATCTTATACTGAAATAGATTTTTGTTGCTAATAAGCATCTTTATTCACTCCAGGCTCAAACATCCTGCAGCAGTCGACCAGGATGAGAGTCAGCAGCATCCCCACTCCTCACCTGCTGCTGGTCAGGTTTCTATCTTGCTCATTTTTAGTCTTTGTGATCAAGAACATGAAGGAAAGCTATAAACACTCATGAATGAGATGAGTAACAGTTTACTTCTTCAATATGACAGGTGATGCTTCAGAGTATGAACCCATGAGAGGCTCTACAGATGCTGAACAAGGTGCAGTTTGAGCTGCTGAAAGATTTAAAACACTCTAAGATGAGATTAAAGATGCTGTATGTTTATTTTAGGGGAACCTTCAGAGGAATACGTCCTTCCTCAACAAGCTTCTATCAAGGATCAGGACAAGGTTGATGAGAACTAATAGACAGGAAGGTCGTCTTCGTGCATTTTATCTGATTCTGAGAAGTGATTAAAGGACCATAATGTTAGCTTCTCCTGCATTTAGCTTTTAGATTCCTCTTTTTTTTTTCTCTGGTTTGGATTCTAGGTACTGTTCAATCAAAGCAGCAACAAAGTCTGTTTTTTTAATTGCTATTTACATAGACATTCTCTTTATTACTAATAAAGTTTTGATTTTCAATAAGAAAAGAAAACAGTCCTATTACAGTAGATTACCATGTTCAGTAACATTTCACCAACATACATGTCAACAGGTGCAGAAATCTGCTTAATTTCAGAAAACTCTTTATTGCAGTGATTCCCTCAAAGTGTTGCTCAAGATTTTAGTTTAGCCCCATCATGCTTGTTTACTTGTTTTTTTAAATTTCTTAAGTATTCATATTTTGAAACATATTTGATAATGAAGCAATATATTGTTTTTACACCATATTAGCAAGATTATGAAATTTATTTTAATGCATACAGTATAAAAAACATATTGGATTTTAGGGGTATTTTGATTCCATTAAGAGGGGTTTTAGCACCCCCCAAAAACAGGCTAAAAACGCCTATAAATGGCTTTAGTCCAGAATCAGTATGACAGGCTTTCCAAAAAAGTAAGAAAAATCAGTATCAGTATAAAATCACTAGAAACGATAAATGATGTTAGGGTTACAGTTCATTGATATTTTAGTCATTAAAGATAATTCTCTCTACTGAAGCTGGTGTTGTTATGATTGTTTCATTAAAGGTTATTTAAATAAAGTTCCAAGTGTTTAAAATGTTAGTAGTTGAAAACATTGTTTTTAGCAGGCTGCACNATGGATGGATGGATGGATGGATGGATGGATGGATGGATGGATGGATGGATGGATGGATGGATGGATGGATGGATGGATGGATGGATGGATCTTTATCAAGGATTATAGCACTAAGGCAGATCAATTTTGCAAGAGCATTTATTAGTTGTTGATATTTGCTAACTTCTCTGCTTATGAATTTTTTCCTTTTTTCAGTTCCTTAAATCTGCTTCTAGAGAGCCTGGCTAAATATCAAAAACTTCAGATGTTTAATTATTTTGTCTTCTGGGACAGAGTGTGAAGCTTAGAATCAGTTTCATCTTTTCAAAACTACATTTATCACTGGAGTTCTCTCTCCCACACTTTATTTTGTGAATAATGGGGTCTGTGAATGACTGAACCGAGTGAGAGTAGGATTGATGAAATGTGAATGAGTCTGCCATCTCGGGCTTTATGCTCCCATCCTCTCGCAGGTCTGTGTGTTTCAGTGAATGTCCCATTTTGGTTTTAATTGCTTTCCCAACAGAAAAAAATGTCAGAAACACCAGTTTTGAAACAGTCTCTATTGCTGCTTTTCATTCCCTGTTTTTCTGCTCGTTTTTGTTTACACCTGGAGAAGGTCACTGTGGCTTTTGCTAAATCAGCTAAAAACCACAAAGAATCCAGATGCAGACTACGTTGAATATTTCTACAATTTAACAAATATCCCATGGGACCAAAAAGCTCCACCAACAACCTTAATTAGCAAAAAGATGCAATTTGTCTAAACCTAATTTTAAAACCTCCTAGCTAAAGTCCTGAGGCATTTTATATGATCTTTTTTTAAAGTTGTTTGTAAACCTAACAATCAATCTTTACTCATAAATCTAGGACAGTGTGTGAAAAAGAAAACATGACTAATATGAGACCCAGAAGCTCATTTTTATCCAGAGAACCCAGCAGGTGTAGCCGTGGCCCCCTGTGCATTTAACTTCTGTGAAGGATGGTTGCAGCAGCAAACATCCATTCGTACACATGATAGATTTTCTAAAAGAGACCTGGCCGTGGCACAGATATGAGGCTTGATGAGACGTCAGCCGGGTAACAGGATATCTTATTATTTGTGTCTGATGTGGTGAAACATAGAAAGAGTAGAGTAGATGCTTTGGATTCTGGACGGCTCTGCTGTAAGTGCACACAGCAGACTGATAAAGGATACCAGGCTCCTGCCACTGCAGGGCAATGAAGTTTGTAACACCAAGGGAATATCTTTTTCCACTAATGTTTCATACAGCACCTTGCAAAGGCATTGACAATCAATAGACTTTCCACAATTTGTCACGTTGCAGCTTCAAATTTACTCAACTGAGATTTTATGTAAAAGACGAACATAAAACAATGCATAATTGTAAAGCTGAAGATAAGATTATGAGCATCTTTGAAAAAATAAATAAAACAGCTAAAAAGTGCTCAGCCTCCCAGAGTCGATTACTTCGTGAAGCCGCCTTGTACTTCAAAGATGCAAATCTTATATGTTGCTAGCACATTCGCATATATAGATTGATAAGTGTGGGAGTGTTGGCCTAGTGGACCAGAGCAGTGCGCTTGTGCTCTGAGAAGGTTGCAAGTACCTGGTTTGATCCC